TAAAAGCTTCAGTGCTAAGAGCTAAATTAGCTGGTTGACCATCAAATATGGATACACGAGACCTCTCCCGGACATCTCTTTGGTTTTGATTGGTTTCATTTTTGTCGTCTGTCATGATTATCATTCTTACATATCCCTTCTGTTTAATTGGATGGTGTGGTAGTTTTCGGTGAGTGCGAGGTTTTCATTTTGTCGTGATTCAATTCCATGTGACTTTGTGCCTGAACTTTGTCCATGTTTATTTTATTTTTTTGTGAGGCTGAAAGAAAATATATACGTGCCCCTGTATATGGTTGACAGCAGAGTATTTATGTACGACTGACTGATCGCGTGTGAGATGAACACAGTGTTGTACGAGGTGCAATCATAAAGCTTATGAATCACAAACCATACCTAGATAAAATATGGCCAACCTGCTCTTCAAAGTCACTTCCTTGTGCACTTTTGCACATCTTTCATCTCCTGCTGTGCTAATTTAAAATTGCTCTCTGGAAGCATTTTTATTACCACTCTGTGTTGGCTTAATGTGTATTTTTAAGATGTGCTCCCTAAATCTGAGGAGCAGGGTGGCTAATGAATGCAAGGCCAAAACAATCTACCACATGGTGTATCTACCACACAATGACGGCCACCCCTCTCCCCAAATTTAGGACATGGCCTTTAATGTTCTCCCACAGATGCCTCAGAATATTACAGTTAAACTGTCCTGTCAGTTTCATCATTGGGTACAAATTAATTAGAAGCACACTCCCTTCTCCACACCTTACCTGATGCATCACTTTCAGGTTTGGAAAATGTGGAAACTGCAGTGGATCCTACGACTGTCTAATCATCAGTGATAATCGTCCACAGGATATTTGGTCAAACCTGACACTGAAAATGATTGAGCAACTCTAATGTCCATTGCGATCTAGAAAGGTCAGCAGAGCTAGAAGAGATCCAGAGTTGCTCACTCGGGTGACCCTGAAGAGGCCAAACCTAAATCTGAATTATTGAAGCCCTCGGTGGCAGCATCCTAAAACTTTGTGATCACATCTCGTGTTAGTGCGAGTGTTTTTGTGTTGAGTAAAATCTGAAAATTGTTGGTGTATGTGTGTGTGTGTGTGTGTGTGTGTCAAATGAGACACTAACTAGAAGGTTTTGGGTAAAGCTGTTTTGTTCCTGTGACACGTGCTGCTGGCTGAGGAACTACATTCCTCTGTAGGAATTCTGGGACTCCAAAAGCTAAGAAGAAATAACCATAAATAATCATAAGGTTGAAATAATACCCCCCAAAAAAAAAGTCCACCTCTTATCCAAACCAAAACAACAATCAGAGCATCTGCAGGTCATAAAGTCAAAAGTAAGAAAAAAATCATTTATCGTGCTGTAAAAAGTCTGAAACTGCTGAAAAATCCGAAAGTGAATTTTCAGGAGAGTTAAAAAAAAATTTACTTACAGAATTTTTCTAGTCCCCAGAAACAATCAGTAAATTTTAATAAAGTTTTATTCCACTCCATTTAAAAAAAAAAAAAAAATCACTTTAAACAGCCATTGACACAGTTTCCCCTTCTTCCCCTCTAATCCTCTGCGCTGTCCTTGTGTTTTTAATAGCTACAATGTATCAAATGTAAAACACCCCACAGTATTTGTGCACAGTTTTATACATACTTCACTTAAATTCACTGACGTAGTTAATATCTTTGAAATTCTGCTGTATTTAATTAGAGCTAGGCTTCGCATAGCCTTTATGATTGAGAGCAGGAGACTCATATTCATTCATGTACTGCCCTACTGCACAATTTCTCTCAAATTTAGATAAACGAAGCATAAAGGAAAAGGTCTCAGAAGGTAATAAATAGATTCTCATACCTGCAGATGTTGTGTTTGCAGCAGTTTGCTTAGAAAATATGAATTTGTGATACAAAAATGAGTTTTCCTGAGAAACTGCAGTTTAATTAAATACTTCTTTTTGTGAATGCCCCTCTGATGAAATATATATCTTATTTGTTTTATCTAAAATTTAAAGAGTTGATCCCCACCAGAATTCTTACTGTGCATGTTCTGAATTAAGTTGCCTGCAATAAAAGACGACAGACAATTTTCTAAGAGCGTGCATACACTTGCGGCAGTGTGACTGTCCCTATTCCAGCTGCATGGACACTAGTTGATTACTCAGACTCCCCCTGAGGCATCAGTGCAAGCAGTGTGTAATGCAGACACCACTTCCAAAGTCTTAAACTTCTGTGTTTGATTTCTGCGATTTGATCTAAAAATAATACTCATACTTTGGTTTGTTTTTTTCCTCTTTCCTTTTCTTCTTCCTCTGTTCCTTCTTCACCTCCCAGGAAAGTGTTCAATCAAGAAAAACCACTTGGGATGTCCCAGCCTTTTTTGGTTGTTTGACCAACCGTATAGCACAGGAGCAACACTTCACATAAAGCAGTATCACGTGTATGCGCTTTACAAAAACAAACAGCAGCAGCAGCAGCAGCAGCAGCAGTAATATCAGCAACAAACGCATCGACTGAATCAGCATCCGCAATATGAGAAGTGCTCCCGAGTTCCTATCATTCCACAGCTGGATTCATTTATATATGTACATATCTATTGTTGGCAACAAGATATACATGTTAAGAAAAAGCATATCACTGATGTTATTCTACTGAACAGGGTTCTACTGTATAGTGTGATTTGTGGTCTGCGGCGTTAACAGAAGGCCAGTCTACACAGTCGGAGGCAAAAGAAAATACTACTCTGTATGATTACCATTGGTAATATTGTTATGTAGAGTTAGTTTTATTATTTATATGTAAATTTAAAAACAATGGGGGTACTTAAGCTGGAAGAGAAATGGATTTCCTCTCACTGTAAATACTTTGGTTTAAAAAAAAAAAAAAAAGGAGGACTCTAAAACTTCACCAGTTAACATTCTCTGCTGCCACAACTTTTAAAAATTAACAAAGCGGAAGGAAGGGCTGGGAATTTTTCTATCTTGATTTTTTACGTTTTAATTTATTTGGTAATCAATTTGACGGCGGGGGACATGTGACAATTTCTTTTTTAATTTAAGAAGAAGAAGAAGAAAGAAGAAAAAAAAAAACAGGATTCCTGTGGTCTTCATGATGATGAACACTACTGCTATTATAGAGTTTTTAATTACATAAATGTACCTATGGAAGTGGAAAAAAACGTTTCTTTATTTATTCTCTACAATCGCTGTTTTAAAACATATGTCTTTAAAAGAAAATAAAGTACAATTTAGAAGAAATGTCACAGTGTGAGCTCTTTTTTTCCTTTTTTCCCCTGTGAGACTAATCAAATCAAGTTTGGGCGTATGATCGTGAATGGGTTATTCTGGGAGGTTTGCTGCTCTCTAAAGGCCTAAAGAAGAATTGAAAGTGAAAAATATCTGTAATCCTCCAGAGGTTTGGTGGCTCCACTGTGGACCTAACTGACTGAAAACTACTCAAAGGAAGTTTTCCATTCATTTAATTTCCTTGTAGGGCTGCTTGAATGGACCGTCACTGGTAAATGAAGCACATTTATATACATGATTAACATAATGCCCAGATTTAATGCACATAATTTTGTCGGGCCACTTTTGGCAGCGTGATTTCTGATGACTGTGCATGCATAAATATTCAGCTCAGTTATGAAGACAAGGGAGGAGGCTGAGGTGTGTGTTTAACCACAGCTGGGGTATGCACCGAGTCTGTCTGGCACAGCCTTTTGGGTTTGGTCTGATCAGTCTAAACATGCCTTAGCCCTCTGGCATGCTTCGATTTATGAGGAGGTATTAATGCCACAAAGACGAGAAGTAGAAAAAAGCTGGAGAAAAATGTAACGTTGAGGGGGAAAATGGCTAATGTCTGAGTAGAAAGACGGCACATAAGTATGTAGAGGTAAGTGCACATTTGTTTGGGGTGTGTAGCTTTCCGGTTGTGAGTTCTGAGGACAGAAAACTCTTTATCTACTAGAGATCTTTACAGAAGCACTCAGCTGGTGCTATCGCCTGTCTGAACATGGCCTAAAGGCAGCAAATAATGAACTTGTCTGCTAAGAAGCTTGTGAAAAACACCTAATGTAAAAAATAATCTTACTTCCTTTTAAACATTATATTAATGTAGCGTACATAAAAAAATGATGTAACCAGGTATCACCAGCAGAGTGAGCTGAAGCACCACTGTTAATGGAAACTAGCCAGTTCAGAATCAGCAGTATTAGTTTTGTAGAGATTAAAAAAACAAAACAAATTTCTTTCATTTTTGCAGCTGCGACAAACTAAAATTAAACACTTCCACCTGAACTGAAGTCTGCTGCAGCACTGGTCACAACTAAAACACTGCTAAGCAGAGCGTGCTGTGTGTGAAACTGGGAAGCTATCGATTCGAGGGAATCCTCAGGTCACATTAAAGTGATACGTGTTATTATGATCTAATAATATAAAGTAGTGGGTTGGAACCCCTTTTTGTCTTCAGCGCTTCTCTTCACAGCACAGATTCAACAAGGTGCTGGAAACATTTCTCAAAGATTTTAAGGACATCACACAGTTGCTGTAGATTTTTCAGTTGCACATCCGTGATGAGACTCATGGACACGGTGCTCCATTACACTGACCTATGGTGACTTTGGAGGACATTCGAGTACAGGCGTGCTCAAGAAACCAGTTTGAGATTATTTGAGCTTTGTGAGAGGGTGTGTTTAATTCTGGAGACAGCCATCAGAGGATGGGTACACTGTGCTCATAAAGGTATGGACATGGTTGGCTGTGACATTGGCACCATGCTCAGTTGATACTAAGAGGCCCAAAGTGTGCCACGATAATATCTGCAAAATTACACCACCATCTTCACTGATACGATCTGAATGTGGAAGCAGTCATTTAGACACAGGCTGAATGCCTGTGTCTAAGTGACTCTACTACTAAAAAGAGGCGCGTTTCCGCCTCGTGTGGCACTAAACACTCCTCATAGATGTAGACTAGGCTAACGTCACTCTAAATAGCCTTCCCCCGTCTCATCCTCTTTTTACTTGATATCTACCATATCCAACCAATTACACAACCCGGCAGTTCAGCGGAAACAGCTTTAGACTACTTTGATGAAACGGGGAGGGGGAAAAAAAACACAAAAGTTATTGACATCCTCTTTGGATCCAGCTAAAATCACGACCTCAGGAGAGAGTTTAGGAAGAAAAGTGCGACACGGGCTTTTGTTTTTTTCTTGACTGAGAATGTGGCGAACTTGTGGTTGGAGGAAAGAGTAGATTACAGCTCACTGAGCGGTCAAGTTGGAGCGACTTTAATGGCGAGAACTAGCTGAAATCTCGTCAGCTGCTACAGGAACAGAGGGCGAGCAGAAGCAGAAGCAGCAGCAGCAGCATCAGAGCCGCCGCCATACATTTTAGGACTACCTGCTTACTACAAACAGCGGAGAGAGGTGAGTACGGCACCGTTACACGATGCGGTTAAGACCGTACAAAGCTCCCTCAAAACTTTAATTCCTTTACACTTAATCTCGGACGCACACACTGTTTTTCATTTCTGCTATTTTTAGACAGAAACAGGAGAGTCGCCCTCCCTGGAGCATTTACGTGAAGTTTCAGCCGGGCGGGGGAAGATACCCATGAAACTTAGCTGACACACGCCGTCTCCGGTTCACCAGTTAGGGGGACGTTCAAGTAGCTCTCGCACTTTAAGCTAGCAGGCCTTTACTTGTCCCGAATGTCGGTTGTGTTTGTTTTGTGGGAACACCGCGATTAAAAAAAAGAAGGTCATGAAAGTGTGCAAACCGCAAACAGCCGCCGTTAGGAAGTTGTTTGCTAAAGATAAACGGCCATTTATATCTCTGAGCGTGCAATTTAAGTGTCCGCAAAAGAAAAGTTTTCTAACGTAAACACTCAGGGGAGGTTAGCCTGGTTTATCTTACTCTTTTGTAGAACTCTCATCAGGCTGAGTATTATAAGTGGCACTCTCTGATAAGAGAGTTAAGAGTAGTTGTTCGGGAAACTTATTCAAGGCTCCATCTCAGTGAGTCAGACAGGCTGTTCCGCTATGTCCGGGAGACTCCCCGCTTGCACCACGCTTAATCTCATGCAGCCACTCCCTGCACACGCTTACGCAAACAGCGTAGATGGTGTCACACACTAACTGGAAAACTTTACAGAGGACGTATGAACCTCACTTTTTAGCTCCAGCTTTCAATTCTTGTGTGCTACTAGGGTAGCTTTGCAGGCCTGATTCAATTTCAAAATAATCTTTATTCATCTTATACTAGGCTTTGGTGCAGCCCTCTCTATTCATAATCTGAAACCAATTTGTAAAGCTAGCTTTCCTCTGATTGGCTTGTCTTTGGTAAACAAAGTTTGGGAAGCTGGTGGGTAGAGCCACTTCTGTAAAGTAAGGTGACACAGACTCTTTGACCTAACAGTATGTCAACCACAGATGCTATAAAAGATGGATGCAGCTTCCAGGTCAGAAAAATAAAAGCTGGTGCACAAGAGCCTTAGACCTGCATACTTTTAGTTGGCCACCAATGGATTATACATGTTGAGAGTATTAAAAAAAAGTCACTGTGAAAAATCCTTAGACCTTCATTCTACCAGAAGCTCACTGATGGCAACTGTGTAGGATGAAATGAATGATTCCCCAGTCACACAGGGGACTGGCAACAACCTGTCGTAAGTGGGTGGAAAATATTAATATGATCGAGCCAGTAGTCAAACAAGCCTATAGACTGGTCAGTGACCCACTGGCAGCCACCTGTTGCTAAGGAAAAAATATATATTCCCAACTTGTTGGCAAAAAACATCTTGTAATTGGATTCATTGGTTGATTGCTGTGATCGTTCTTTGAATGCAAGTGATGGACTTGTCTACAATTTCCAGCTATTCTCTGAGCAGTAGTGAAAGGGTGTGACACAAACTGGAAATGGAGACTCTTTTCCTTCAAAGTAAAAGCTGCAAAGTAAAAGCTGCCAACATGTTGGCTTGGCTAGCGCCAAGGCACAACTTTTACTTTGAAGTCAGGGCTCCTTGATTTTCATTTGTGTTGCACTTTTCCAAGTTGTACTACTAGTAGTTGGTGAGGATTTGCGGACAAACATCAGAAATCACAGGCAACCTGGCAAATCTGCTAGCAACCAAAGCAATCACAAGGAGTTTTTAGTGCAGCACCTTCTTTGCAAACGATTTCAACCAGCAACAACCAGCAACTTTTGGGAACCACTTCAAGGCAGTGGCCAGTTTTGGGTAATAGAAATTTTTGCTTAGCAACAGGTGGTTGTGTCTAATATATTGGACAACGTTTGAGCAGTGATGCATGATATCATGCAAGAAACCTAGAAGTCTGCGGTAAAACACTTTAGCATATTAGGTCCACCTTAAAATGAGTTGGTTGTACAGGAATTGATTCAGCAAGATCTGTACAGTATTTATTTTAAGTGATTCTTAATTTAAGGTCAACCATTTCTTAACTCACAAAATAAAAATGATTAAAGTGGCACCAGTTACATTTACAGTTGTCTAACTCTTAAATTCAAAGTATTGAACAGTTGCAGTTATTAAGAGAGTAGGAAAATATATCCTTTATCTATCATATATCATGTAAGTTCTACCGCAATAATGTGGTTACTTTATTTAAAATAAACCAACAAAAGAAAGATGAGTTATGATTCTTTATAGTACATGGACAAATTGCAGTCTGTGTGACTGGCCCTGATCTCATATCCAGTCTTATTATAAGCAGCTACTCTTGAGTTTGTATGTGCCAAAAAGGAGGAAAAGCATTTTGAAAAGGTATGAAAGTGAAAGTTGTGATTATCCAGTGAATCCTTTAGCCTTAAGGAAAACTAATTGTCTTCTCTGTACCTCTGTCAATTTAGATTTCAAAGGAATATTTTTAAGTAGTTAAAAATGCAGAAAAACTGGGCAGAAGATATAGATCATTAACTGTAAGAGACCTAGACAGCTCTCACACAGAGATAGAAGAGATGAGATTTGTTATGAAGCAGTCAAAATCATGTGAGAACAAATGCATGCAGTTTGAAGCTTAAGTAGTACAAAAGCTGGTTAAGAAAATATGCGGCTTTATTTCAGCTTATCGCTGAGCGGCTGGTGTTCTTCCGCCAACTATTGATCTCCAGTCAGGAAGACTTTGAGGAAACGTTACACCATCAGAGCAGATACTGCTGCTGTAAAAAAGGCAGGTGCTGCTGTCACTTACCTATAAACTCTTAGGCCTCTGGAATTTTATTGCATGTTATCGCTGCATTTTTTCACTTGCTTTTAAATGTTGCTGGTTTAGTTTGGACCAACTACAGGTACAAATGTGTACCTCAAAGCCTGAGCGGGTCGGTTTCCAGTTCCCCGTGTTAGACAGCAAGTCCTTCTGCATGTTCACCCAAATTCCATAAATCACTCAGGACTGAATAAACCTGCACTCATTAACATATCTATAATGTTTTATAGAGAACCCATTCTCCTTTTGTAAAGTTCAAAAGACTTAACCTGATCTGCAGTCAGCTAAGCAACATTGTGGACACTTTCAGAAAAGGGTTTCTCACTGAGGCATGAGAGTTGACAAACAACAGGAAACAGGTTGACTCAAATCAACCTGAGTAACTCTAACAAACAAGATAGTTGATATTTGACTGCGGCTGTTTCCAGATGAGTCGCTGTATCTCTGAAACAGCCGTCCCACTGAAGCCAAATTAAGGCTGACCGAGCAGATTCGAAGCAGGTTAAAGTCCACACACACATAAAGCTGGATTTTCCTCTTTAATTTTTAGCAACAGAAAGTTGCTCACACTGTCACAAAACACTGTCTGCAGTAACAAAGGTGAAGCAGTAAAGCAATGTTCCGACTCAAATGGCCCGAATCCATAGGTGACTAAACCTCCCTTGAGGTTTTGCCAGTAACTACGCTGAGATCATGCAGTTTGTTTGACTGCAGATTATGTTGCTGTTTGCACACTCTAATAACAAAGCAGTCATACTGCTCTTTAGGTTTCTGACTCTGCTCCTTGTTTTTGGTCCAAAAATTAAAATCAAAAGTTCGAAATTTAAGACATCTCAATCCAGATTTCACTCGAAACCCGGTTCATGACAGCACTGGTTTCCCTGGTCACATCATTGTCTTTGGAAGAAGATTAGAAGATTCTTTAATGCCTTTATGCAGTTACATAAAAAAATTCTGTACGGTAGTTCTTTGGCTAAAAACACAACAAAATACTGCTTCATAAACATCCTAACATGTTATGACCTACAAACGCCACCATTACATTGTGCGTTAACTGCATGCTGGGTCAGTGATGTAATCTGGTTGTGCTCCAAAGTGTGGTCCCCACAGGTTTCCTGTGGATAAGAAGAGGAGAAAAGACCAGGACAGTAGATGAAAACAACCTCCAAAAGATCAGTGCCTTTGGTACATTCAGCTGACTATAAATCGGAGTACAACTTAACCAGTGGCTGGATGGCAAAGGAGCTGTAAAAAAATTTGTAAAATAAAAATACAAGGGGCAAGGAAAGTCTAGTGTGTGCGTGCGTGTGCGACTGCAAACTACTCCTAGGCCATCTGAATAAGCAAACTCAGGCTCTTACATATATATCATATATTGCAATGTCATCATGGTGCCTGTAATCACTTAGCAACAGGTTAAAATGACCCTTTTTAGTATTTATGTCCCTTTAGTGCAGAAGAAGAGCATTCTGCTGTTGTATTTTCAAAACAGCATAATCTAAATTAAAGCCACAAAAGTTTCATTATATATGGTTTATTAATATGTCATCACCTTGCCTGGCAATGATCTAACATCAAGCTAAAATGATCCATTTTTAGCATATAAGCAACATCTGCCATCCCCTCCCCCCTTTTTTTCTTTTACCATTGCTATCATTGTGATTGAGTATATCAGTTTTCCAACAGCACAAAGAGACAAAACAATACTGTAGCAAGGGCATGAACAAGTCTAAGGAATACGAAAGACGGGAAAGACTCCTTTCCTGTAACGTAGTAAACTTTGCACTACCTTTGCAGGACAGGTTGCTGTGAAATAGAACGAACAGTCATGACCCTGATCACAGGGGAATGTGAGAAACTGCAGCCATCCATAAGTGTTCAGTTTTGTCAGATTAATTACTCTGATGGATATAAACCCCTCATATGCTGCTATACTGTGAAAGGTAGATATGGAACATGTTTATGTGTGTGAACGTGAAACTCGAATTAGATTGTTTGTTTGTTTTTTTTAAAGTGAAGGAGCACATGATGAAAGTGCACTGAAAATCTTTAGTTGGGGATCCCTTTTAAAATAGGAGTGTTCAATGTGACCCTCCTATATTATTATTATTATTATTATTATTATTATTATTATTAATTTGATGTCTCAGGCATTGAAAAGCAACATTTAGAATTCATGCAATGCATATCCTTTTATACATTTCCTCATCAGATTGTCTTAGAGGCTAACCCCATAGTTAGAAAGTTGTATAAAAAAAAGTTGCCCTGACTTCTGTAATTGCTTTGTTTAACATGTGTATGATGAAATCCACTGTAATCATTGTGTTAACTGAGCTTGTCAGAGCAGTTGTGTAGTTCTCTTTTCTCTAGAAGTTATAGTGGAAATGAATAAACACCACAAATGGTGAATATCATGTTGTCTCGCTTAAGAGATTATTAGTACACGCTGTTGTGCAATTTCCTGTCTGCCGTTCAGATAAACAGTATGTCATTAATCAGTGAGTACTTATTTAATTAAACACATAATGGCAGCTGAGCTTGGGCGCCGCAGCATTTTGCGTTAATCTGCGGATAAGACTTTGCTGTCAGACATCCAGCATGGCAACTGCTGGAGATGGTACCTGTTTTTCTTTTTGTTTTTTCATGCTGACCCAGACAGTTTATGTATTTGTTTTTTTAAATATTGTTGTGTGTGCTGGAAAACACACACAACAATACTGCCTTCAGTACTCCCATTTATCTAGAGCAGGAAGTGTAAGAGATGGTGTGTGTTGAAGACGCTTGGTTAGATTAATAACTTCCAATCAATACTAATTACTCTCAGCTTTCAGTTTGCAGAGCTTCCTCTCAGGATACGGTCACGGCTGAGTTAGTTACTGGGTTTATCTGATAGAAAATCTAGAAGGAGATCACCAAGCAGACAAAATATTCTTTTTAATACTTGTCTTAATTTCCTTCCATAACATGCAGACTCCTCTCTCTGTGTTTTGTCTATAGGATGCTGTCTCGGCTGAGTGAACTGATATGGGCGGACTGGATTTGGTTTCCCGAAGGCCACGGCTGGGCTGACTTGACGGATCACGATGGCAAAGTGTTCCCTAAACCTCAGGACCTCTGGGCTACTATACCCATCGCTTTCTGCTTCCTCATCATCAGGCAGATATTTGAGCAGTGAGTTTTCTCTAACACTTGTGTCCCACACTGTCATTTGCCTATTAATCTACACCTGTCTGCCTGGTTTGCATGTTTCTTTCTGACAAATATGAAATGATGTGTAAGCCTCATTTTCTACCTAAGTGTACCCCTTCTCCTCCTCTTCCCCTAGGACTGTCGCGATTCCTCTGGCCTCTCTTCTGGGAGTGAGTGACAAGCAGCGTGTTCGTGCTCCTCCAAATCCAGTCCTGGAGTCCTATTTCTGCAGCACATCAAAGCATCCCAAACAGGTACCTGTGTTTGCATACGTCACAGGTGTTTAATTCGTACTCTATGCAAGATTTTAGTGTTAAGGTTTAAATAGAAGAGACCACGATAGATTTATCTAAATCTAATGTGGTTGGCCCAAGCAGTGTCATCGAGCCGGTACAGAAGTATCAGATGGCTGCTGAAATTGCTATAGACTCCCATGTTAAAATGCCCAAAGTCACCTATGAAATTAACATATTTAAAGACTTCTAGTAAAGGAAATGTATTATACACTTTTTGAGACATGTGACTGACATCATTGCAACTATAAATACAGCGCTGACTCTTCTCTTCTTTGTTCTGCTTGTCATGTCAGAGCTCCATTGAGAGTTTAAGCAAACAGACAGGGTGTTCAGTGCGACAGGTCCAGAGGTGGTTCAGGCGCCGGAGGAACCAGGACCGACCCAGCAAGCTCAAAAAATTTAGGGAAGCAAGGTAAAATAAGAATTTCATATCCTTCTACCAAATCTGACACTTCAGCTTCAAAGTATCATGTTATAATAATAATTTGCTTTGGTGAGAATACAGGTCCCCATGACAGTAAAGCCACGTGAAGGAGGCTTTTAATAGCATTTATTTTAATGCATTTTTCTTTTTTTATGCATCGTTAAAAGACCATAAAGCAGCTCTATCTGCTGTCACTATGGTTGATACTTCTATTTAACGTGGCAAAAGTTTCATATAATGACGTCAGCACATGTATATAATGACGTCAGAGAAAGGATATTCTTAGTATAGTCATCTGAGACACACGGCTGTGGCTGTGAGCAGTCCCACCCACGTGCTGTTCAAATCTTCTGTTTGTGAGAGCCAGCCAATCAGAAGAAAGCGGCCTTAAAGGACAAGGAACTTGTTTTACACAGAGGATGAATGCTGGACTGCACAATAGCCTAGTAAAAGATAACTAAGCATTATTCTGAACTGTCAGTCGTGCAATGCTGGTATAGTAGAGTCTAAGAATAAAAACATGGAGCTGAAAGATGGCATGCTGCATGCATGCTGAAACATCCAACATGTTGCACATCTAGAAATGGCCCAGTCAACTGTCTTAAAATGGACTTGTGTCAGACAGTAAGGAGTGGCTCATTGGATGTAACCTTGCAAAGCTTTTTGTATGAGCTGCCACTACGACAACAATAAAATATGTTTTGTTTATATTATCCATCACTTATCCATTGTGCACAGATGACTGTTTTATCATGAGTACCTTGGGTTTTAACCCAGACACACCCACAAAAAAGGGAGCAGGACATTTTTTAAATGCTGTTGCAAAACCGCCCATATTGCAGAGAGGATACTGACTGCAAGCAGAAAAATGATAGATGCCAGATTTAAAAAAACACTGAATGTAAACCAGGTGTTTCCAGGCAGTAGTGGAATGGGGTTTTCTAGTTTATATGTAAACTATATGTAAAAAATAAAATGGGATCACTTCAGAAGCAACATTAGCACAGTAGGAACATGTCTTGGTGTTTTTTGCATGTGCCATGCCAGTGTTACGATATTGTATGATGAAGTCACGCTTTACCAGAACTACATTTCTGAGATTGTTGTGCACTCTCTTCCAGTTGGAGATTTACCTTTTACCTTCTTGCTTTCTTTGCTGGCCTGGCAGTCCTAATTGATGTGAGTATGCTGTCAGAAATGTTTGCACAAAGCAAAGTTTCTCTGCAAACAACGACTATGCAAAGGTTAATAGAAGTAAATGCATTTCTGCAAGTTGAAGATTGTTTCCTACAGTGCGTCTCCTGAGATTCAGCCACAGAACTGACCAGCTAATTAAAGTTATTTGTGTTCAGCTGGAGCTGTTTTTTGTACAGAGACAGAAAAAAAAAAGGAGAGTTAACATGTAAAGCGAGTAAAATCATAGAAGCTCATGGTAAGGTTTGAATTGTAACTTGATTCCAGCTGTCAGTCATCGTCGTCCTCTTCACTTTGGCTTTTACGGGCAAATAATAGGGGGATTCCAGAAACACTCTGGTGACTGTATTTGTGTGGGTAACGCAAGGTGAAACTTCACTTCAAGTTTGGATATGTAACATCTGCGTCATGACTAGAAACACCTTTGTGCTGAGTGAAAACATTTGTTCTGTTCTTTGGTGAAATAGAAAGTCTCTTTGCTACACAGAAAGACAGAAACTGAACTGTGTCTGCACGCTGTGGGATGCTGTGCTTGTAATGCTTGTTATTTGTGTATTAGAGTGCTCGAGCTGTTGTGTTGAACACTCAAACCATCACTAATACGCTGATTGTGTCTCTCCTCTCAGAAACCATGGTTCTACGATGTGAAGCTGATATGGGAGAACTTCCCAAAAATGGTATTTAAAACTGCTCTGTGGCCTTGCTTTCATTCAAATAATGACCTGAGCAATGGCTAAAATAACTCTTCTTCCTCTACTCTCCCAGCCGCTGCTGCCTTCACAGTACTGGTACTACATGATCGAACTAGGCTTCTACATCTCACTGATTTTCAGCGTAGCATCAGATGTCAAGCGAAAAGTAAGCGATACTGTTTTGTCTTTAAGCTCTGTTAGATGTCTATCCTATAAAACCCCTCAGCAACCCTCCATCCAGAGAATTCACCCAGTGAGTGCGTATGACACTGAGAATGTATTTTGAGGTTTGGATATTGATTTTCTCCTCAAGTCCTGACTTTATTGTATCGAGTGGTGCTTTCTGCATTCAGAACGACGTTATCAATGGTGAATGGTTCCACTTTATCGTCTCTTTGCTAAAGTCATAGTGAGTGAACAACAAACGGAGCTGCTCCTTTGGTTGGATGCTGTTGGCTTTTTAGCGTCTCTGAGTTAATGTGTGACCAGAGCTCTGTGGAAATCTCACTGTGGAGAGACTGATTTACCATTTTGTCCACAGGTTTGCATGTTGTTGTAAGCAAACTGTGAGGCCTCTGTGCCACGGCCTGTTTTGTAACGCTGGTTCACAAGTTCAAGGAACTAATCTTTTAAACCGAAATGTAGGATTTTTTTTTTTAGGCTTATCTGGGTAGCATCAGAGCTGCAATCAGCTTCCGATTTGAAGATTTGTTTTGTAACTTTCAGTTGAGTTTTTCTTTTCTTTCTTTGTTTCTAACTCTTTTGAACGTGTATTTAGTTTCTTTTTATACCGCTGAAGTTCTACAATCCTCTGCGTGCAAGAAGTTAATGATTTGTAAAAGTTGCATCTACCAGACAAATGCGGTCGATTGGTGACCTATCTTTACAGCTTGATCAATAAGTGACTAAATCTGGTGGATTTCAGTTCTTGCATCATCCGTTTCTGTCTTTTCGCCAGGATTTCAAAGAACAGATAATTCACCATGTGGCCACCATCGCCCTCATCAGTTTTTCTTGGTTGGTCAACTACATCCGGGCAGGGACTTTGATCATGTTGGTTCACGATGCCGCTGACTATTTAATGGAGGTATGACGACAACCTGCTAACATGGCAGGAAATGGTACAAAATGAATGTATGTAATCACACAGCAGGTATCAAGCAGCCCTCTGCCTTGATACCTACAAACACTGCAGAGTACCTCCATGCTAATCTTAAGAGCATTGACTGCCTGCCCTCTAGAGGAAAATGCATGAAGAGCTAACTCTCATCTCTCTCTATCTACCCCTCTCTACCTCTATCGGTCCATTTTTCTTTCTGTCATCTCTCTGCAGCTCTTTTCTTTCTTTACTTTTCTGTCTGTCCATCTTTTTTTTTTTTCTATTGCCTCTTTCTTTCAGTTTACCTGTCTCATCACTCCATTTTCACTATCTGTGTCTCCATATTTCAGTTTCTTTCTTTCTGTTTCTATTTATTAATTTTAAAGAGACAATGCAGTTTGACAGTTTGAATACAGAGAAACTGATGTGCTACACATAGTTTCTAGCTAATACTATTTTCCAACCCGTGTCCCTTTTTTGAGATTTTATATCCATAATGCAAAAACATTTATAGCAATGCACTACTATCATACAAAGCTATGCGAATGAATAATTGTGACTTTAAAATGAATGAATGCTTTCTCTCTTTAAAGTCTGCCAAGATGTTCAACTATGCAGGCTGGAGGAGGACCTGCAACTTCATCTTCACCATGTTTGCTGCAGTTTTCATTGTCACCCGCCTCATAATCCTCCCCTTCTGGTAAAAAATAAAAAGAGTATAAATACAAATGAATGTTTTCCATTGTTAGAAATGGTAAAGGATACAGTTACAGGATACAGTGCATCATCTGTGTAATTCCTTTGTGCCTCAGAGGTTAACCAAAAACTTTTAAAGCCATTAGAGAAATGCGCTGTTGCACGGATACCAAGCATCTTCATTATCATGATGGGAATTTTCCAGTGTTTTCTTTTGGGCACTGTGGTAAATTACGTCACTGAGCACAAATGGCTTTTGAGAGATGGCCTAACAGGTTGTTCCGGTGTCCTTCATGTTCATGTTTTGCTCCTCCTCGCTGTGAAAGGACTCCACCCCACAAGTGGAGGTGTAAGGTGTCCATACCAATATTGTCCCTGGTTCTTAGCATGCGTCCTCTCTCTGTGTCACAATAGCTGCTGTGTACACGTTCGTAACAGGCAGATTCATTCACACAAATTCCCTCTGGGGTGGGAAGCAGGGGGGAAAAAAAGTACTGTGATGAATAAGCATTACTGGTGCTCTTTTTCAGTTAATGCAGCACTGTGCAGGTAAATGGGTAGTTTACTTTATTTAGTAGAATTTTCCTAAATTTGCTCGAAACTTCCTCTGACTTTATTCTGGAAATGCAACAACAGAGCCATTGTGGAGCCTCCTGGCTCCTCTCAATGGGCTGTTGAAGCTGGCTGTAGGTGGCTCTGACTGGACTCTCTGTTCTGCCTTTGTCCTCTCATTCAGGATCATACATACGACGTTTGTGTACCCGCTGACTCTCTACACCCCCTTCTTCGGCTTCTACTTCTTCAACGGGTTGATGTGTGTGCTGCAGGTCCTGCACATCTTCTGGGCGGTGCTCATCCTGCGCATGGTTGTCAAATTCCTGCCGGGCAATGTGAGAAACACCCGCTCTTGCATTTCTTGAATTTATTAAACCGGCCGTGTAACACAATCACCTCACACTACCAGTTGTAAAATTTTACCCCGTCTCATTTTTTGTTTTTTGTGGTTTTTGTTTTTGGCTCATCAGGACATCGTCGAGGATGAGAGGAGCGATAAGGAGGAAACTGAGTCAGACGATGAAGACGGCGATTGCGAGCGTAGGGAAAAGTCTAGAAACGGGCATGTGCAGAACGGCCACACTGTCCTCAACAACAACCACAGTAAGAGGGACTGATTGGACTGTGAGGTCTGCACGTCAAGTAATGACAGGCCCTGGTCTGAAAGCCAAAGAACGTGAGCGCGGCAGGTTGAAAGGGGGCAGCAGGCACCACACACACACACACACATCCATCCTCCTTTCTTAAACCCGGGTAGTCCAGTTGAAAGCTGACTGCGCATCTTTGATTTACACTAAATGAAATGTGGGGAAGACTGCCATAGACAACCATGATGGTGCTTCACTCCAGAGCAGCTGAGTGGTTTCCTCTGTCTTCTCCCCTTTTCTGTTTTTGTTTTTTGTTTCTGTGTTTCTTTGTTCTTTTTTTTTTGTGCTGTTTGCCAAGATTTTGCGCTGTTGACCAAGTTACACGTCCAAAACCCACCTGCTTGTAGCTTCATGTTTTAATACTGGAAGTGTTTTCAGGGGAGGCCGTAGTAGTTCCTCCTTGTGGTCAGTTAACACTCTCCTGACTATTACCAACTTTATTATTTTGTTCCTCTGTTTTTGCTCTAAATAACCAAACTGAAGTCAGTGACCTTGTGATGAGCACCATTCTGAATTGTGGAAGTGACTTTCTGTGGACCATGTCGGGCTCTAAGTCCATTTACTGAAGTCCTGAGTTTCAAACACCCCACTCTGATTCATGCAGATGATTTTTTTTTTTTTTTATTTGTATTAGTGTGTCTTAAAATCTTTTCTTTTGAGAAGCCAAACGCACACAAGATCATTTTAAGTCTTAGTTTTGTTTTTGCCTAAAATTATGTTTGATTTGTGCAGTTTTTATTTTTTTGTTTCAGTCCAGTCCATGGTTTAAATTTGGGAGCAATTTGTTTGAGTGTAACCGAAAAAAGCCAATCGGTAATTGTTTAGTGAATCTTCATCAGCTGAAAGTCGGTACCATTTCCATTTAGTGTTGTTTTTCCCATCACAACATGCACTTTATGGGTTCTTCTGTAGATCGACATTGATTAATACTGGAGTAAATGGGCTCGATGGCGTTTTGATTCAAGCTGATTCTCCTTTTTGTTTGGAGTATGATTTAGATTTTTTTTTATATTTATTCTAAATATTTTTGTTTATTGTAAAAAGAAGAAAAATAATGGAAATCTTCAGTAAAAGAAAAAGAATTACACCCCAGAGTATGGTTTACATTTTCTGTTTCATTGTAATGTGCAAAGGCCTTCATCATTTCAAGTAACTGTTTAAAGAAAAGAAGAAAGAAAAGTGATTTCTGTCCCTTTTTCATCACAGACGTCCCACGATCTCTGAAAGCCCGTCGATGACTCAGCTGCCTGTGGCTCCTTCTGAAAAGCTTTGCTTCTACTCAGTTGTTTTTATTCTGCATTATGTGCTGCTGAGATGTAAAATTCATAATGACCAGAATGATAAAGATAAACATGGATAACAATTCTGTGGGGTTTTTTTTTCCTTTTCATTTCAAACTAAACTTAAGAGTTTTGGCATTTTTAACACTGAGGTAATAATGGAGTAGAACCTGAGGTTAAAGTAAATGATAATGGAGACAATTAACCGTTGAATGGTTTTATGAATGAATGGTTTTTCTTTTACACAAAAAACTTAAGTGTAAGAAAACTGGAATAATTAGCCTCCAGGCACAGAAGCCCCCCAGGCAGATTAGACTGGTGGATTGGTGTGTGTGTGTGTGTGTGTGTGTGTGTGTGTGTGTGTGTGTGTGTGTGTGTGTGTGTGTGTGTGTGTGTGTATGTATGTGTGTATTCCTGAGCAGTGCTTTTAGTTCCTACTTGCATACGTGACAATTAATTGACCAATTGACATAGTTTTTCTTATATATTTAGTTCTCCGGGGCCGTGGTGAACTCCTCTAATTCCTTATTTTGTTTACGTGTGTGTGTGTGTGTGTTTTTACAAATATGTTTGACTGAAAAAAACATATTTGGTAAATCAAAATTATTATTTATTTTGTCATTACGTGAAACTGGCTACTGAAGCTCCCAATAAATGTATAATTAATATATATATGATATATATATATATATTATATAGATATATATATATAATATATATATATATAATATATAATATATATATATGATATATATATAGATATATATATAATATATATAATGATCTCTCTAATTTCAGAAAAACACATGATGTTACCATGTGTTGCCTAGCAACCAGAATGACCTTTTTTCTGTATTTATGCACTTATATCACTTTTTACATATATTAAATAAATACATAAAAAAATGTATAGTGCAGATTTGTCAGAAGCCTGTTATTGACACAAATTATACGGCATGTACACATACTGGACATTTTTCAGCTTTTTGGGGTCTTTTAAAAAAGTTGAAGTAGCTGATAGTCCTAAAAGTTTTACTCAGACCTTTTTTTTTTTTCTTCTCTTTTCTCATTTTTGTTCTTTTCCATAAACTATTTGTACTACATGAAAACAAAGTCCCAATAACAGTCTGTCATTATTCCCATTCTCTCTCATCTGAATGTGCGGATCTGAGAATCCTTTCTTTGGAACACAAAATGATATGGTCATCATTAAGGAGCCCTGTGTAGGTGGAGTAAATGCAGTCTGGCATGAATACTGTACATCAGTCACTGGTTCTGCTGGTGTAGACCCGGAGGCACCGTGGAGCTATTACAATATCAGATGGCACAAAGTGCTGGTGACACACAGCCGCCTGGCACATTTTTCAAGATGATGAATGATGCCAAAAAAGTTCTCCGATTATTTTTTTATTTTTATTTTTTCCCCAGTTGTCCTAAAAACAAACAAAAAAAAGTGTCTAAAAGTTTAACATTTAAGATCCTAAGACGTAACCACTTCTGGATTCTTCCTCCGCCCATCTCTCTCTTCCCTACAGTATTTTGGCTTCAGTCTAAAAGGCCTCCTTACCTAATTGCATATTGAGTGGGATCACTTTACCGCCGTGCCCTACACTACAGCCTGGACACTGTTCATGTCACTGGCAGCATCACTGTAACAATCTCCATTTTAAAGTGGCAGGGTCAATTTCCAGCCTTCTCTCGCATCCTGCTCTGCAATTTAATTGCTAATGCATCTCCTGTTTCTGCTCCTCTGGCTTTCATTTCCATGCTGCCAACCCCCCCCCCCCCCCCCCCCCCCCCCTCCTCCTCCTCTGGGTACAATCTTACTCTTCTTGCTTAAATCTCTTCCTTTTGCTCTACCATCAAGTTTCCCCCTCCTTCCCTCGCTACCTTTTCAGCTCTGTGTAAAGAATAAGCTCAGTGTCACCTGAGGTGCCGGAGTTTTGCTGGTGTGAAGGCTAATCGGTGACAGTGATGAAGATCCTCCTGACAGGACAACAAAAGCAGTGGGGTGTTTGAGTCACTTGTGAACTGTGTAGACCGTTATTCAATTCCTGCTTAAGTATTAATAAGGCTTTACATGCCCTGGGGAGGTCGTGAGATGCAAGTGCATGCTTGTGCATCTTGCATGTGTATGCATGTGTCTCTGAGTGCAAGAGCTAATTTGTGGGCTGCTCATTTTTCTTGACAATCACGAAAGAGGAGGCTGGTAAAGACTTTGGTAACTGAGGACCAGCTCATGTAATCGGAGTAATAAGGAGCCTCAGAGGAAAGCAGGATGCTATGAACACTTTTGAAAAGTTTTGTTGGAGAGGATCTGCAGCGAAAAGATGGTGAGTTTGAATTATTTCAGTTTTTTTGGGGGGGGGGTTCTTGGATACATGTTTAACTTTACTCATCCTCAGTGTCCTCAGATAATGTATTGATTCAGTCACTCTTTGGGGAAAACTTTAAAGCAGTTTTTGCCTCATTAGGCACGATTTACAGATCTCACTCAACTTTGTTTTCAAAGTTCGCTGAAACGCATTTTCGCACAGTGAGTTTCACACAGTAACAAATGTTGCTCACACTTGTTGCTTAAGTCGCCGTTCAAACTGGTGGCAGGTCAGAGCGAGGTCGAGCTGAAGAAAAAAAGAAATGGATGCCTCAGAGAATAATTTACTTACAAAAAAGTGTCTCAATATCTTTCTCTTATGTTGATATATAGTAAGAGAGCTCTGCTGTACATATAAAACATTAACATTTATTGTGTTCTGCTTTTCTACTGTGAATGAGAAGTAGCACAGAGAGCGACTCGGTTTCTCTTTCCCGTATAAACCAGTGCTTTGGTACGTCTACACAATATAAAGGTTGGGGAGGGTCTGTTTGTGTTTTTATGTCATATTTTTGTCATTTTTAGCTCATCCAGGCAAATTACTGCTGCTCCTGCAGGAACGCTGGTAGGATGTTTAGTGAAACTTGCACACAGCGAACACATAACAAGCAAAGTGTGCTCAAGGTTAAGGTCACATTCATAGCTTTACAGCCAATAAACTGCATTATGATGGATCATGAGCTTGGTGACCTACTAAATCATCAATGTGGTGGTTGCAGAATTACAAGACGACCACGTGATGTTGAAAATGTGTCCTAAACACACACACACACACACACACCTTTTTGTACTTTTTGTGTAATGAATGCTACATACTGTTGTTATTATGACCTGTTGTGGGGATGACGCAGACAAAAGCAGTTTTTGTGTTGTGAGGTTTGTGAGGGTGAGTTTGTGAGGTTTTGCCAGAAGAGTCACGAGTTTAGCAACTGTAGTTTGGAAATTGTGTTTCAAGAAATGTGTCCAGACAGCTGTGGACGTTTTGATCATTTAGCGAGAGCTACTGTGCCTGTTCCTGCAGGAGAAATTAGAAAGTGGTGATTATTAAAGACAAAAAGAGTCTATCAGTCACTTCTTTGGCTTTTCAAATGTTGTAATTCTCTTAAATGAACAAGTTATGGGGAAGACTTGCTGGATAAACTGTAATTAACAACTGATTCGAAGTGATTCACTGCAGTTTTTATGGGCTCACCGATAAGATAACCCTGCAGGTGCAACATGTAAATCTATGGTGGAATATTTTGCATTCTAACGGTTTTTCCAGGTGTTTTTTCCCCTCCCTTTGTTAGACACAGAAATGTGACAAACTGCTGCTGATCGGAATAAAAACCAGACATTTGCTTCTGCATTGAAAGTGTCGTCCTCCATGCAGCCAGGATAGACTTCATTGGTTATGTGCTGCCTCTGTATTCAGAAGCTGTTTGTCACCTTTTTTCTTTCATGCGCAAAGTCACCACCAACACCTTGAAAGCACACGAGCATGCACGCCGTCCCAAAGTGATGCTGCTGCGCTGAAAAAGGAGAAGAAACGGAAACTGTCTCCCTTCACCATTATCGCTGACCACATGGATAAGCCGTCTCACCCCGTGCCGCAGTTCGAGGTGGACGTGGACCTGGGCTTTGCTCTCTTCTTTCTCTTCCTGCTGTGTTTTTTCCTTCTGGTGACGGTGGTACGCTGCGCCCAGACCGTCGTGGACCCTTATGGCTCGATCTCCACCTCCACCTACCAGGAGGAGCAGATCACCTGAGATAGAGAGAGGGAGAAGGGGTGGGGTGAGAGTGCAATCTTACCACTGTGTGGGTGCATACTTTTAAGATCATGTGGTTTATAATGTATGTACAAAAAAAGCTTCAGGACATTGAGCAAAAAGCAAGCAGTCTCATGGAAGACGTGAGGCGTGCATCGTGATGCTTTTCAGTGTTTCAGACTGAGGGCTCGAAGCACCGAGCTGTTAAAATCAGACTTTGTTCCAACCCAACAAAGGCTTTTGGCCTTTGTTGGGTTGTTACTGAAAATGTTTCTCACAAGTATTTCTCATTAAATTAACCTGAAATTTGCTAGTTGCTTTCTTTTTCTGTACGTCAAACTGTTTAAATGTGATGCATCTTCTGTGTTCATACTCACAATTAATCAACAATCAAAAGCAGCTCATGTTTCCCTACAGTCCTCCAACACCGCTGTAGGCAGGACTTACAGGTACTATGAAGGTTTTTACAGACTGGTCACAAGAGCAACAACCAACAGCAAAACCAGAGTGAGGGCAAAAGAAGGAAAACAGGTTTGTATTCAAATATGTTCAGTTTCTAACTTTCAGTTCCTCGAATTTCCAGAGTGGGGAAGCTGCTCATTTCAGTTTAGCTTTCATTGTTTTGAAAATATTTAGTTTCTGTCTGAGGCATAAACTAAACTAAAGAGGCAAGAGATTTAAAAAAGCCAGGCTACCATGATTCCCTCCATATTTGGGAAAAACTGAAATCTAGTTTTGTTTTTTTGTTTACTTTGGTCAACTAACATGTTTTTCTTCACCTAGTTCTGTCTTCTAGTTTAGCTTTTGTCATACAAAACTTTTTCTGTGTGGACCGTCTATGCTCCAAACCATTATTTAATTCAGCATGAGTGGTCTCAATGCGCTCTTTGTTACCCTGGCTGCTGCTTCAACACTGTCTACCCTGGAGCAGTAGCGCCCTCTGCTGGACAAAAGAGGAAAAGCTTACAGCACCTGGTATTCCCAGGCGGTCTCCCATCCAAGTACTGACCAGGCCCGACCCTGCTTAGCTTCCGAGATCAGACGAGATCGGGCGTGTTCAGGGTGGTATGGCCGTAAGCGAGATCATCCTTCATAAAAAGACTATTTATAGATTCGAAGTGTAATATATGTCCACTTGAGAATATGGTTGATTTTATTAACTAAAAGAACATACCACTATTTAGTCAGCGAGGACTTGATTGTAGTTTTTTTTCTCCCTATAGTGTTACAATGTCTAAAATATTGTTTGAAACTGCTTCTTAACATAAAATTATATAAATAATAAAAGGTATCATATTATTTAAGTTTTCGTAGACTGCTGCTGACACAAGCCTGCAGTCAAAATGGCGTGTGCCGGAGGACAATACCGGGGAGACGACGATAGGGGGCAGCACTTCTCAGATTCATTTGTTAACAACCACTTTTGAACGCCGAGAAGAAGGAGAAAAACAACAAGTCTGTTAAGATGGAGGAAAAACCTGCCTGATAATTTTGGATAACACATATTTATATAAAAAAAAGAAAGAAAAGAAAGAAAAAAAAGTGCAGTTATGACGCAAACTCCAAAACAGTGATTTCAGTGTTAGCCTGATATGTAGCTGCAGCTCCAGCTCTCATTACAGCGGATAATTAAGACATAACATCAGGTAAGTGGTTGAATTATTTGTGTTTGTATTAAATGAGGTAAACCCCCACGCAGCTTGATGTAGGTAGGAAATGTGTCTAAACACAGCTTTGTTTTGTTATTTGTTCGTTCTCAGTAGGCACAGCTGTAGCCCTTTAAACAGCTTTCAGAGTCTCCTGGTGCTACAGCACTCCTGTAGCAGCAAAAACAAAAAAGTTCACATTTTCTGATTCATTCTCAGGGCTTCAGGACACAGTGATGTCACATGTTTTTTGTTTGTTTTTGCGAAAAACAGTTTCACTTCCAAGGAGTTGCCACTTGGCATTGGTGCTAATGCTGATCCAGATATTAAATTTTAAATGAAAATGAAAATGTTTTCTGTATGACTTCCTCTTTACAATGTTGCTTCAGTTTAATTAGGTTTTATGCATTCATTTATGCACAGTCCTGCCAGAGCATTTCAGCCAGTTTGACTGATCCGTGTTTGTGCTAATATGCTGTGCATTATGGCCAAACATCTCCACCTTGGAACTCATCTTTCTAAAGCACATTGTTCCATAAATTATCTGGTTTGTTCAGATGCAACTCTGCGAACCTAAGCAGTGCTCCCATGTTCTTTCTTAATGAGAAAAGGCTTTCTCCTGCAGCCCTTTAGACAAGTCATACTCTTTTTCTGATTGTACTGTCACAAACATTAAAGTTATACATTCTCACTGCTCACATGTCACATACTTTTAAGACATTACACAACAAACTTGCTAAGTTAATATGTGCGTTGAAGGACATATCCTGGTCAAAAATGACTCCAAGGTTCCTCACAGCGTTACTGGAGGCCAAGGTAATGCCATCCAGAGTAAGAATCTGGTTAGATACCATATTTCTAATCTACATACAGCGTAGATGTACATGAAAAAAACTACTCAAAAATAAATTAGAAGAAGGCTTTTTTTCTAGCTTCTGATTAATTTATTTGTGCTGTTGTTGTGTGAAACAAACCAGCGGCAGATGGTAGTTTTAAAATGTGCTGAGTTTTGCACCTAATTAGATTCTAAACCTCTAATTCTTAACCTGACAGCACAGGTTTTGGGTTTATGTAATTAAAAAAAACAAACAAACAAAAACCAAGTGGACCGTTGTGAGCATGGAAATTACAATCATGGCCTTCAAGATTGAGGCAAAAGGTTGAGGTCATTATCGATGAAGAGTCAGACCACAGAGGGTGAAAAAGCCTTCGTCCCCTTGGGAATTATATTTAAGCAACCATATATTGTATAGAGTGAAAATCAGTGGACTTTATATAAGAGATCTCCACTGACACACAGAAAAGACAGCTTTAACAAATGTTAAATGTGAATTTGATTGATAGCATTTTCATTTTCTTTTGATGGCGAGCTACAGTTGTCAGGATTAGTTCTCACCACGATGAAAGTCTGGCATGGCGATGGCTCAAGTTTCACTGATGCTTTTTTTCTTTTCAGACACTATGTCTGAATCGGCATGTGAGCCCATTCACTCCACAAATGAAACCAGCAGCCAAATGACACAATGGGAAAATGGCTCAGCCTCTCTTAATCTAATAAAGAAAGCAGTGGTGGTCTTGACCAGACTGCCCGATTATAAGATCAGCGCCCTGCGACCGCCGACGCCTCAGCAGTCCTACAGCGAAGCTGAATTCTCCAGCAGCTCCGGTTCTGATATGCAGTGGCAACCAGAGGATGATTCCACTGATTCCGATTTTTCGGTTTCGAACAATAATCAGAAATCTGACAAGAACAGCAGCGGTGACACAAGGAAACCCTCCAACAGCAGTGGTAAGGCCACAAACATTACCACTTGAATCCTGCTCTCAAAACTCTCAAATAACTTTAAAATTCCACTTCTTACTTTTGCCCTCAAAGAAATAAACCCCTCTGTTGGGATATCACCAACTTCTGCCCACTGCTCTCATGAAACTACGAACATCCATCCTAACTTACCGCAGGATGAAGTGAAAGTGGACATGATGGTCTTGGCCAGGAAGAAACGCATGAAGTGGCAGCGTGGGAAAATAGTGGAGATAATTTCAAAAGGTAAGAGAAAATACTGCAGGTTTTCCAGGAATTATGATTTTCTTTGTTTGTTTATTATCCTTTAAACTTGTTAGTCCTTTTCAGATGAGAGCATTTCATTTCATTGTTGTTGTTTTTTGTATATTTGTATAAAAATATCTTTTAATTCAATTCAATTCAATTTTATTTATACAGCCCCAAATCACAACACCAGACACCTCAAGGTGCTTTATATTGTAAGGTAGACCCTAAAACAATACATACAGAGAAAAACCCAACAATCATATGATAATAGCAATAATGGATTGCATTTACATAGCACTTTTCGAGACCCTCAAAGCGCTTTACAATTCCACTCTTCATTCACTCTCACATTCACACACTGGTGGAGGCAGCTACAGTTGTAGCAGGAGCAGACTGACAGAAGCAAGGCTGCCATATCGCGCCTCTGGCTATCACCAGTAGTCGGTAGGTGATAAGTGTCTTGCTTAAGGACACAACGACCAAGACAGACAGAGCTGGGGATCAAACCAGCAACCTTCCGGTTACAAGATGAGTTTCCCAACCCCCTGAACCACGGTCGCCCCATGACCCCCTATGAGCAAGCACTTGGGTGACAGTGGGAAGGAAAAACTCCCTTTTGACAGGAAGAAGGCTCTGGCAGAACCAGGCGCTTAAAGAAAATATCTTTAAGCGATGGATTCTTGTGCACCAAAATATACACATTTAAGGATGTGACCTCAGTGTGGTTAAGATTTTCAGCTTTTTTCTCATATTTAGCTGGCAGTGGGCGAGAGGATTGCACACTCTGGACATCAGTCAATTACAGGGCGCACTGCTTCCATTGGGCATATTTAGGATAGTGATAGAGTCATGGTGCATGCAGGAAAGCTGTTGCACTTGTGGACATGACCTAATGAAGTATAACCACATTTTTTTTATTATCCTTGGTTTTCTGCGTTTGTCACTGCATGAGCCAGCAACTTAAATTTTTTAAAAAGGACATTGACCAAAGTGCTCCAAAGCAATTAAAAGAATTTGAACCCTTGTTAAATAAACTGAAAATGAAAGACAAAGACAAATGAAACGTTAAAAAGGTGAATAATAACTTAAAATATGTTATTCCTGTTTATAAAAGATGCATTTTCATTTTCTTTCTAATTTGTGAAGTACATGCGGTAAAATCTAGGCAGGCTGACATGTGTTCAGACAGCAGTACTTCACTTTTAAATATGAACCACCATTATTCAAAAAGGAAATAGCATTTAAATGGTAGGAACTAAAAAATTTTTTCTTCCTCTTTACCAGAAGATGGACGGTTAAAGTACAAAGTTAGCTTTGAAGAAAAGGGGAAGATTCTAGTATCCGGTCACCACATTGCCTTTGACACCCCACCAAAGGTAGAGCATCTTTTTGTCGGCACTCGGGTTGTTGTTCAGTGCCAGGATAACAAGTTCCAGTTCCGGCCTGGTGTTTTAGCCGAGCTCCCCAGCAGAAAGAACCGCTTCAGGTGTTCATACCTCTATGAACAAACATAATCACGGGCTTTTTGTCAGAAGAAACGAGTGTCTCACACATCGCTGTTTCATTTTCCAGGTTCTTGGTCTTTATGGATGATCACACGCCGGTCTATGTCGGCTTACCTTTTTTTCACCTGGTTTGCAGACCGTGTAAGTTGTGCTGTGCTCCGGCTTTTCTTTTACTCACAGTTGCAGCAAGCAGCAGACAGGAGAGTGTTTATTTGAAGCACGCTTACGTATTTAATTCATTATTTCAACAGTGGAAAACGTGTTTGACGACATTCCCGACGGCCTTCATAAGCATTTCATGAAACAGTACATGAAGGACTGGCCGTACCCTCATTTGACCATATACAGGGTTGGACAGAGCCTCAATGCAGAATACTTCGGAGAGCAGCAGAGGTGTGAGGTGCAGGCGATCGACTGCAGCTTGATACAGGTTGTTTTTCAGGTGGGTGTCTTTTTTTTTTTTTTTAATCTTTACATTTTAACCAGTCAACAGCAGATCTAATGCTTATTCATACTTCAGTAAATATATTTAACAGAGGTGCTTGTCAGGTTGTGGCACAGGATTTCAGGAGGGTTTGAAATTATGAGTTACAGACAGCATGTTTAACCTAAAAACATATCTCCAGTGTAAGTCCGCCTTGGCTATGTTTAAATAATCCAAAACTAAAAAAAACAAACAAACAACGCTCCCGTTTCTTTTCCTAATCACCTTTCCTTGACAGTGTGCCTTTTTTATGTCTCGCTCAGGCTGACCATCACAGAGAGTGGATCTACAGAGGCTCCATACGCCTGGAACATGCACAGGCTAGATTTTTGGAACTGAGCGTGAGGAGAGAGGCCACGAATGAGTCTGACTCTGACTAAATATCCACAGAAAGTGGATGCTGTGAAAATACTGGGAATAGCATTCACAACCCCCAGAAATGTGCCATTGCATCTCTTTGGAAGAAGATTGGCTTGTGAGCGTGCAAATAAATGACTCAAGGATATAAGGAGGAGATTTAACCTGTTTGAACGGGGTGCTAATTTTGTAATCTTTAATTTGCTGCACAGTTGTGCAAAGTGACTGAGTGGACCATCGCACTGCCGAATGAAACAAGACATAATTTTTCCTAGAAAACATGCGAATGGTGATTTTCTTTTTCAATTTCTAAAGAAATGGCACTTTATAATTGCACAACTTTTAACAGCAAGGTTAAGCAGCTGTATTTTTTCAACTTTTTTTTTTTTGAACAGTTATATGTGAAAATGTTCATACCCTCATTTATTAACTTGGCCACGAATAGAAATTTGTCTGATGTGTGTTCATTCACTTTTTTCAGTGTTGTTTTTTATGAATTGGGAACAATTCATATGAACCTTTTTTCATATTTACAGATTGATATGACAGTTATGTCTCTGATTTATTTTGCCTTTGGTGTCTGTTATGTTGCATCCTTTGTCGTTCAACAATAAAAAATTTTTTAAAAAAAGCCTTGTATATAAGCTTGTCATATGCAAGCAAATACCCTCTGCCTCATTCATTTCCTTTACTGGACTGCATAATTGTAATTTAAAGATAAATCTGAGCTCTCACCTGCTAAATTTACTGATATAAAAATGACTGACATAGAAGTTTAGCTATCTAATATCTTTTCTACACTTTGACCTGGTCACACTAGTTAAATAAATACCTTTTAATACATATCAGGAATGTAGCAGAGAGGAAACTTAAGGGAAATGGATGTATGCAAGGTAGTGTTTCATATTTGCTCCTAAGTGCAAATTTTAGACTAGTATGAATTATCTGAGAAGCAAAGCACCAAACAATTAATTTGCTGTACTTAAAAATGTAACTGACGAAGACTCAAAAAAGACCAAAACAATCAGTCTTAAACAGACATATTTATGTGTTTACTTACCCAACAAAATATACTCATTTCAAAATTAATACTTTAGTTTTCATTTATTCGAGAGAGCCTTGTATAGCTCAACACTGTTCAATTTAAATTTACTATTAAGTTTTTACTCAGAGAATGGTTTGAAAAATTGAAAACATCAAGTGAGCCACAGGTCTCTGCCTTGTTCATGGCAGAGATTAAAAGAGAATGACCAGCTGATAGGAAAAGCAACCTCAACTCCTATAACGTTACAATCAAAGTATGCAGAACAGCATCTCTGGATGCACAGATGAGCAGCACGCCAGGTACCAATCCTGTCAGCTAAGAACAGGAAACTGAGGTTCCATGGATCACAGCAGTTGGAAAACGTTGCATGGTCTTACCGATCCGAATTTCTGATGCAACATTTTGGATGGCAAATGTTGTGTAATCATATGTTTATCAATCCATCCTGCCTTGTGTCAACAGTTCAGACTGGTGGTGGAGTGATGGTGTGGGGGATATTTTCTTGGCACACCTCAGGCTCTTTGGAACCAACTAAACATCCAGTCATCTGGAAGACTAATAAAAATAAAGTAAAACTAATAAGAAAATGCAAAACTATAATAACTCTGCGTTCCATACATAGCAATTGGTTTAAAAAGAAGTAGAAGATTGTCGGTCGTATTTCCGGACGCAGGGGGCGGCAGTGAGTCTCACAGGTCTACCCAGCAACATGAAGAGAAGAAGACCATAGAACAAAGCTAAGGTATGGCTTGCTTCTTATTTGACATTTTAAATTAAAATCAATCAAATTAATTAATCTAGCTGAAATTAAAAGAATGGTTATCAGGTTGGATACACTTTGTGCGATAAAGAGGCGCAGAGGCAGGATGAAACGGTCTCCACGGCTAACTGATTGAAGTCCATGCTAGCTTCGACCAATAAGTCTCAAGACAAAATCAGATGCTGGTGTTTTGGTTTTTATTTATTTAGTTAGCTATTTTTAGTAAAGCCCTTAACACCTTATCCTGGCTGGACGTCTTTTTTAAAATATACGACCTTGAGCTTGAGAAGTGTTTCTGATTTACTTTTAATCCCCCCTCTTTGAGCCCGCACACCTAGATGCAGAGGAACCAGATGTTTGCCAGGTTTCAGAATACTTTATCGATCCCTGGGGGAAATTATTTTTTGTTACAGTGCTCCATTATAAACAAACATTAACAAGACAGACAATACGCTAACTAAGAATAGTACAAATATATATACACCAATATGTATGTATATATATATATCCCCTCTGGCCAACACCAGTAGGCAGTAGGTGAAGTGTCTTGCCCAAGGACACAATGGCCGAGACTGTCCAAGCCGCGGCTCGAACCGGCAACCTTCCGATTACAAGACGAACTGCCAACTCTTGAGCCACGATGTTCTTCATAGCAACATTATAAATGTTATATGGTGGTAACACAGTATGAAGACATGGTTACATGTAATAGATGGTTGGTTTGAATAATTTATCAAATGTGAATTTTACATTTCCAAGAATCTGAGAAAATACCTCAGGTTTTATGAGGGAGCATTCCCTGTAGTAAATGCTCCCTTTAGGGCCAGTAAAGCAGATTATTTGCCTCCATCTCACTCTATCCTTTCCATCCTCTTCTCTCACACCAGCCATCTTCATTTCCTCCTTCATGACATCCATACACCTCCTCTGTGGTCTTCCTCCTTCCCTCCCGCTTGGCATCTGTTGTCCATTATAGCCAGCATCCTTCCTCTGCACCATCTCTAACCACACCTATTCAGCTGTCTCCAAACTGTTTAACCCGAGCTATCCCTCTGATATAATCATTTCTAATCCTTTTCCTTTTGGGCACCCCAGTGAAAATCTGAGCATCTTCAACTTTGACATCTCCAGCTCAGCCTACTGTCTTTTTGTCAGTGCCACTGTCTCTAAACCTTGTATCTCCAGTCTCACTACCATATTGTGAACCTTTGGTTTTACTCTTGCTGCTATCATTCTGTCACAAATCACCGCCAGGACTCTTCTTCACCTCTCTGTTGCTTTTCTGACTACTTAAACTCATCCCTCTTCACTATATCTGGTTCCTGCATCGTCATTTTTACACCCGTCTCCCTGTCATGCAAACAATTGTTCTGTCTTTCTTCTACTGAATGCAATTCCTTTTCTGTCCAGTGCACCTCCACCTCGTTCACCTGCTCCCTATTCTCACTAGAATGCACCATGTTGTCCAGAAACATTCTAGCTCAATAAATTAGTGATTCATTTCAGCGGTAAGTTAGCTAAACCACAGCACAATGTAACCATTTTCTATTAATATGTGCTTTATTTATGCAGGTAAACACTCAAAGGCTCTTGACCTTCCTCTAAGAGATGTGATGTCAATCTTTTCTAGTGTGTTAGGAGCCCCAAGTGTAAGTCTTTGAGATGTTTGGACTTTGCATTGTTCATTTCTTTTCTGCATCATGAGAAAATCTATGCTTTTTTGGAATAACATTAGTAATAATTAATCTCTGATATGTGAAACATTTGTGTGTTGCAGTAACTATGGATGGAGATGAGACTGAGATGAGCAGAGAGGAGTGCTGGATAATAGACAAGGCTAAGGAGACCCAACGGGTCTCTCCGGATTTGCTGGAGAAATGCAATCAGCTGCAGTCTCTGCTGAAAAGGAGAGAGGAACAGGCCGCGTGCCTCCTGAGACTTTGCGAGTGAGTGTTGTCATTGTAAACGAATATGAAAGCATTAAGTGTGGCAATCTTTAAAAAAACAAACAACTCTTTTAACATGCTTAACTACCCACACAAAAAACTGGTTTTGGGGTTCATTCTCTTGTTGGTTCATTGTTGGAATAAAATGTAATAAAAACGAGCAACAGTCAAGAATTGTTATATATGGAGTGTGGAGATGAGGAAAATATTGTACTGCTACTATTCATAACTATCATCATTATCATTGCATTAATCAGCATTTCATTAATACATTTATTGAAGCGGTTGGCCTTACATTAAAACTTGTATTGCAGGTGTGATCATAATTACATATTAACCTTTTATTGCATGTGCAACTGTAATCATTTTTATACACACATTGCAGGATTGTGCTTATATAGAGTGATGCTCGGTCTATTTAAAGGTCTTAAGCTTCGCGTGGCGCAAATGTCCAGGCGATCCATGGTGTAAGTGACCTAGAGCAACAGAAGGTTTAAGCATGCATGCTTGCAAACATACATGATAGTATTCATTCTAGGCTAAAGGCCTGGGACACATTTTGCTTCTAACTGCATTTGAGTTTGCCTAGTAACAGATGACAGAAGAAGAGTCAAGTAAAGTGTCAATCCTCAGGGACCACCTGGAGGGTGAAACAGATTGCCATATATGGAAGAATGTGATAGGAAGTTTCACACTGTTAGACCTCTGCCTTACCACAACATACTTCAAATACATCGAAGGCTTCCACAGACAAAAACATGGCTGTGGAA